GCCCGAGAACCGGGGCTAAAATCAATTTGGTGTGGAATCATTAAATACTATTGGGGTCGAAATCCATCTCGGATACAGAAGGAATATCCTTATCTTAAATATTGTCATTGTCTTGAACAATATTTGTTTGAGGGTTAATCTTAACCCTTTCAACCACCTTAACCTTTTGATCAGGCTTAGTATTAATTTGACTAGCAATGGTGTGTAAAGAGGCTGCACGATTGCGAGCTGGACCGTAGACTGGTTCAACAAGGGAAATATGTTGAATAGCAGGTAGAAGTCTATGATTAGAAAATGAATGTCACTTGATGGTTTAACTGATAGACAATTAACCATTCTCGTACACATAATGCTTATGTACTCGACTATCTGTAAAAGTGTTAAAAATACGGATAGAACTATTTGCAAAATGATTATTGCAGGATTTTCTGGCCAACTTCGTGGCTGGTGGGATAATCATTTATTTGTAGAAGAAAAGGCTTTCGTTATTAATGCTACAANCGACCTCCCTTCCTTATTTGCTGAAAGAGTAAGGGATGTGTTAAGGGGTAGTTACGGTGAGATTCAGTATAATAATTATACCTATGGTAAACTTATAGGAGTTTGTACACAAGAAGGATTGAAATTGTGTAATGAGCTAAGGCTTTCTAGACAGCTTAAGATTGATAAGCTTAAAGAGAAATCTCAATTAGTGACTTCTGTACCCAGTTCGGTTTACCCGAAATTTCTACTCAAAGTAGGAAGAAGAAAAACAGATATCATATATATATATATATATATATATATATATTTATATATCTATATATAAGTAATTTATATTAGTATACACATATATAGTTTATAAGAAATTGCTTTAGATAAAAAAAATTTTAAAAAATAGTCCGAAACGAAAAAGCCCGTTTAGGCCCGCGGGCCCAACCCATTTAGCCCGGGACCATGTGGACTTAGGACCGCAGTGGGCCAGTTCCACTCATTTGGCCCATTTAGGCCCGGGCCCGGACCACAATACAGCCTTACACAAACAATATACAAGTGGACAAGATGACGGTGGGTGGGGGCAATATTATGAAGTATATATTCTGTGACTGCAATTCTATATGGCTTTCCTGAAACTCACTGAATAGTGCGCCTTTTTCATTTTGCATGTGTGTATATATACAAGACACTTTTCCCTCAACTCTCACCACAATCATCTTTCTCATTTACTTTATCGAAACTGAAATTAACAAATCCTAGCTAGAACTGAAGTAGCTAGTCATGAAGCAAAGTATATGTTTTGTTGTATTTCTTCTCCTGCTTGTTTCCCTTTCACCAGCATCTTCCCGTTTCTTATCAGTCAGTGAAGGTAATTAGTATTAATTAGCTGAATTAATGCTTTGCTGTATGTACAAACGTATTCTTAGTTTGATTGATGAGTAAATTTAGCAGCTAGTTTTGATTAATTTAGTTAATTTGCAGTGAAAGAGGAGGTAAAGTATGGAAAAGTGACCCAACTTGCATATTCTCTTGATGACCAGATGGAAACCTTCGATTCCCTGAATGTAATATCCTAATTCTCTGTCTTTAGATGAATGCTTATGTCTTTTCTTGTGTTAAAGAGCTTTAGAGTTTGTTAAATTGTTCTATATCGGTTGAAAGAAATGAGTTGTTAGATGCCTCTCCTTATATGATTTTAAGCAATCTTCTAGCCTTTTGATTTAGTTGCGCTAAAGGCTCATTTTTTTAACATAGCACTAGAGCTAAATCCATCCCTATTTTTTGCCTTACTCAGTTTTGGACCCCATGTTGCATTGTTCCCGCACCAAATGTCTGGTCTAAGCGTGCGAGGGCATTAGAATGTCCGGTTTGAGCTTGCGTCGCGCGTTAGAATTTCAATTTTATGGATTTTAAATTTTAGAACAGTTACTAAGATTTATATTTTATATATGTACATATATAATATAATGAATTCATTACCACAAATACTAGGCTTTATATTTTATATGCTCCTAAACACAATATCTGCGCTTCTACCTCTCTCCCTGGATGGCACAGTCGTCAATTAGAATGTCCTAAGTACATTCGTTTGTGGAATGATCTGTTGTTGTCTCCTCATACAGTATTTGACGATTCTCACCTCATGAATGCAGTTAATTCTGGCCAAGTTCATTTTCTGAACAGAATCTTTTTTAACTGACTCTGTTTTTTTGGTTCGTTACACTTGTAGAAACTGATGGGGATAGAGGGATGTGAAGATGAAGATGAAGAATGCTCTAAGAGAAGGATAATGGCAGAAGCTCACCTGGATTACATCTACACTCAGAACCATGATCACCCTTGAGATCAATATTAATCCTCTTGGGAGTTAGCTGGTATTGACCATCAATGCCTAGCTTTAAAACATGAAATAATCTTCCTACATTTTGTTTGTGCATTTCTTTTCTAACCCACTACTATTCCAAGAATGTGACAAATTAAATATTTCGGACAATCTTGTTTCTTTAAAGACCTTTCTAGTGTTTTTTTTTTGTTTGTTAATGTGAGAAATATTTGGGATAATCATCAGAAAAGAATAACCGGAAGAGATAAAAGGAGTGAGAAAGAATGAGAAGGTAAACAAAAGATTTTGTGATTTTAAAACATTTATGGCGTTTGGTTGAAAGAGTGGAGAGAGGGATGGTTATGGGGAGTTGGGCGTGGGAGATACATAAGAGCAAGATCAGATTAAAGTATGGGGAAGTATAAAGACAAACTTCCCAACTAAATATAGCTCCAAACTTATGTGAGGCTAATATATATAGGGCATGACTTTAATTATGTAAGAATTTACTCGGACAGTTGGGAGTTACATAGAACTTAATTTGATCATGACATATTTGTTCAGTAGCCATAAGTTAGTACTAGCAGCTATATATATACTATGCACCAGCTGTGAGCCCTAGCTAGTGATAGAGATCAGATGAATAAACTTCTGGACACAAAATGCTCGACTCCGAAAGCAGTGGCGTACGCATAAAATTTTGTGTTGACATATTAACATAGTGATCAAGAGAATTTCATGGTTAAAGATTATTAATATAGTCAAGAGAACTTCTCGAAAATAACCATTTCGTATAGAAACAAACGAGTTGAAGTACTACTCTATTAATAAATGCATACTTCATATAATTAATTTACTTCGGCAGCTAGCTAGTTAAAAATTAAAGTTTATGAATGTCAAAAGTGCTTCAAAGGATTAGTAATCCTCTACTTGTGTTGTCAATTCAAAAGGCAATGGGAGATCTACTTTTACTTCATCTTTGAATCAGATGCTGATTTTCACTTCCGTGGCAAAGTATTCCAACCTTTAAGCATTATAATAATTACTCCTCACAATAAGTGTCCAATTTGTTTTTATATTTTGATTCAAAATAAGTGTCAAGTTATGTAATCAAGAAAGAATTCAATTTGTTTTTACAAAATAATCCCTATGTACATATCCCTAAAAAGTTTTCTTACTCCTCACATTAAATGTTTAATTAGGGGTAATCTAGTCATACTATGTATTTTTGTATAGGATTTAGTATTTTAAAAGCAAATTGGACACTTATTGTGAACCGGAGGGAGTAATGTAATAATCATCCTAATTAATTAAGACAAATGAGAATCAAAATAGTACTTAATACATTCTTTAATGACACATGTCTCAATATGCTTCAAACAAACCAAAAATTACTGTCCTAACCAATTATCTATAGATATTTTAATCCAGCTAGTATTAGAACTTGCGCGATGCACGGATAACATTACAAAAATATTAATTATTCCAACGGTGATCTGACTTTGCTTAGCATATTATATCATATTGTTCCAACAAAATTCTCAATTTTGTATCTTAATGCTAATGAAATTAAATAAAACTAATTATATAGTCATTAATTAACTTTTGTGTTTCTTATTTTAATTTATTACATTTTCGTCTATTTGGTATTACTGCATTGGTATAAATTTTTCATTAATGGCTTATAGCCTGTCTGACCAAGCTGCAAAAAAGTTAGCTTATTTTGAGAAGTATTTTTTCTTAAAAGTGCTTTTCTCAAAAGTACTTTCGGTGAGAAGTAGTTTGTGTTTGGCTAATTAATTTGAAAAACACTTCTGAGCAGCAATTAGTGTTTGCCAAGCTTAAAAAACTGTTTCTAAGTGTATTTTTTCTCAAAAGTGTTTTTTCAGAAAAGTGTTTTTGGAGATAAACTGTTTTTTTTGTTTCTCCAAAACTTCTCCTCAAAAGCACTTTTTTTTTTCTTTTCAAAGGCTTGGCCAAACACCTTAATTTTAGAAAAAAACACTTTTGACCAAAAAAAGTGCTTTTGCCTCAAAAGAAGCTTGGCCAAATAGGCTATTAGTATCCTTGTCCATTACTCCATTTTGTATATCATCGATATATTATTCTTTCTGCTAATTTTTCAATTTTTAAACTTTTATTATATTATTAACAATTTTTCGCATATTTAAATATATCGATAATAATTTTGTATTTCATTACTTTATTTTATTTTTAAAATTAATATCCTAGCATTTTCTCTATCCCTCGTTTTGTATATTTTTTTATACTATGATATTTTAGTTTTCCTCATTTATTTTTTATCTAATGTTTAACAATTCTTTATTTTGTATTTAAACTTATAACAAAATATTTTTTCTTCTATTCTTTTATTTAATAAAAACTTTCTATATGAGAAATTTCATTATATGTTTAATATTTTACTATGTTGCTCAGAAAACTTTATTATTCAATATTTTTATTTTTGACTTTATTTATTGAGATTCGAGTTATGTAATATTATATGTTGTATGTTATTGCTTATCAAAATAAAAAATAATTTCTTATCTCAAACTAAATTAGGTCTTATTTTTTCAACCTTTAAACCATGTTATTTCGTTGTTGCATTTGTAACGACCCGACCAGTCGTCTCATGAGTTACCGCTCTATTTCCCCCATTTCTGCTTCTTACTGCTTTGTTTATTGGTTCTATGAGCGATCGGGTTGGTTGGCTCGGGTTCAGAAAGGATTTGGTAAGGTTTGAGACACTTAGTCTCTTTTGAGGAAGCTTAAGTTGGAAAAGTCAACCGGATGTTAACTTATGTGTTAGAGGGCTCGAATGTGAGTTCCGATGGTTCGCATAGCTTCGAGGGGTGATTTGAGACTTAGCAGCATGATCGGAATGTGTTTGGAGATCCGGAGTAGATTTAGGCTTGAATTGGCAAAATTGGATTTTTGACGTTTTTCGGTTGGTAGGTGAGATTTTGATATAGGGGTCGGAATGGAATTTCGAGAGTTGCAGTAGTTCCGTTGGGTCATTTGGTATGTGTGTGAAAAATTTCAGGTCATTCGGACGTGGTTTGGTATACTTTTTGATCAAAAGCGTAATTTAGAAGATTTTGGAATTTTTAGGCTTGAATCCGATTCGAATTTGGAGTTTCAATGTTGTTTTGAGCGTTTTAAAGATTGAAACAAGTTTGAATGATGTTACGGGGTATGTTGGCATGTTTAGTTGAGGTCCCGGGAGCCTCGGATGAGTTTCGGGTGGTCAATTGGACCATTTCATGTTGTTGAGAATTGCAGAAAACTGCTGAAGTGTTGCAGAGAAATTTGACCTTTGCGTTCGCGAGTAGGCCCTCGCGTTCGCGAGGAAGGCTACGCGTTCGCGAAGGGCTGGGAGATTATACATCGTGTTCACGAGGGAGGCTCCGCGTTCGCGTAGAGGAAGTGGCCAGCTGGGTTTTAGGGTGTTTGGTTCATCGCATTCGCGAGAGAGGGAGCGCGTTCGCGAAGGGTTAGGCTGAGGAACCATCGCGTTCGCGAGGGTCAGGTCGCGTTCGCGTAAGAGGATTTTTGGTAAAAGTTAATTTGTGCTTCGCGAACGCAAGGCATTAACCGCGTTCGTGAAGAAGGAATTGAGGTCTGGGCAGAATGTTTAAATAGTTATCTTGTCCGCGATTTTGGGGTTAACTTCCACCATTTTTGAGCGATATTTGAGCTTTTTGAAGAGGATTGAAGAGGGATTAAAGGGGAAACACTTGGAGGTAAGATTTATAGACTTTATACTCGATTCTAATATAAATTCTACCTAATTAATCATGGAAATTAAGCCTGATATTGACGAACTAGGGGTTGAAATTGGAGACCTAGAATTTGGGATTTGATAGGTCGTTTGTGGTTGGATTGTGATGCTTTTGGTATAAATGAACTTGGGGAGTGATAAGGAGTTCATTGATGTAATTTTTATCGGAATTCGAGACATGGGCCCGGGGGTCGGGTTTTGCCAATTTCGGAATTTGTGTTGTAATTTGATTTCTTTCAAGTGGGCTTTGTTCCATTAGCATATTTTGATGGTTTTGCTCTGACTTTGGTTAGATTTGGAGCATCTAGACGCCGATTTGAGGGGCAAAGGCATCGCGAGCTACATATTTGGACCGAGTAGATGTGAGTAATAATTGTAAATATTGTTCTGAGGGTATGAAACCCCGGATTGCACATCGTTGTGCTATATTGAGGTGATACACATGCTAGATGACGAGCGTGGGATCGTGCACTATTGGGGATTGTGACTTAGTCCATCCCGAATGACTATTTTATCGCGTATTTGACTGAAAACTATTTTCTATCATCATATTTTGGACTGAATGCCATATTTGGGCCTCATACCAACTATTTGAACCCTTAGGAGATTTTTACGGATATTTCCTCGCTGTTTTGACTTTATACTTGTACCCAGTCATGCTATATTCTACTGTTTTCATAACTCAGCCACGTCTACTCAACTTTAACACTTAAAATGATATTCTAAGGGCCCCTCCAGGAGTCTGCACACCCCTAGTGAATGCGGGTACCCATTGTGATATGAGATAGAGTCCGAGGGGCTGGTATTGTTCCATGTATTGCTTGAGGGGCTGATTCTGTTGGTATTGTGCCCAAGGGCAGTTCTTTATGTGTTTACCTTTTCTAGTTGCCTGTCTTTTACTTGCTTAACTGTTTAAAAAGGCATTTTAAGAAGCTTAAACTGAACTAAAGTGACTTTGCATATTTTCACTGTTTTACTAGCTTTTACTGCTTTTTATAGCGTGTAATGTGCTTTACGTGATTTCGTATTACTCAGTCTGCATTTATTATTATTACTCACTGAGTTGGAGTACTCACTTTACTGTCTGCACCCCTGTGCAGATTCAGGTGCTTCAGGTCCCGCTAGCGAGTGTTGATCCTTCCAGCTCAGGCGAATTCAAAGATTCTCTAGGTAGATGCCGGCATTTGCATCCCAGAGCTTCTCCCCTTATCTTATTTTCTATGTTTTAGCTCTCTATTAGACTATGTAGACTCTTTAGACTTGTAGAATATTGATAGATGTTCATGATTGGTGACACCCCGATGTTGGGCTGTGTTGGTTTTAAATTTCGCAAATTGTACTGTTCACTTCTTATTTTGGGATTTTATCATGTTTAAGACTAAATACTTACTAGTTTAGTTGCTTAAAATAAAGTGGGAACGTGTCGGCTGGCCTTGTCTTCACGAGAGGCACCATCACGATCAGGTCCGGGTTTAGGGTCGTGACAAGTTAGTATCATTGCCTAGGTTGCATAGGTCTCATGAGTCATGAGCAGGTTTAGTAGAGTCTCGTGAATCGGTATTGAGATGTTTGTATTTATCCTCGAGAGAGGCTGTAGAACCTTTAGGAAAAACTTCATTTTCTTGAAATTCTTGTCATGCGAATTTGTTTATCCGAGTACTAAACTTCTGTTATTCTATTCTCTCACAGATGGTGAGGACACGCGCTACCGGTCAGGATACACGACCACCAGTACCACCAGCTGTGGCAACTAGAGGCTGAGGATGCGGTCGTGGTCGCGGTAGGGGTAGGGGTGTGGCCCGTACAGCAGCTAGGGCAGCACCTGTAGATCCACCAGTCGCCCTAGTTCAGGATCAGATCCCAGCTGTAGACGCTCCAGCAACACCAGCTCAGGCACCAGCTATGCCTATTGTGATTCCGTGTCTTTAGGAGGCCTTGGCTAAGATCCTATTAGTTTGCACTGGCCTAGCTCATGCGGTTTTAGTCATTACAGCTGCACCTATTTCTCAGGCCAGGGAAGGCACTCAGACTCCCGCCGCTCACACACCTGAGTAGGTCGTGGAGGGACTTCAGACACCGGGGGCGCATCCAGCCCAGCTGGTTGTAGCTGCTCAGGACTATGTAGTTCCTGCCATACCAGAGGATGAGCAGCGTAGGCTGGAGAGGTTTGGAAGACTTCAGCCTCCAACCTTTAGTGGTGCAGAGGGCGAGGATGCCCAAGGTTTCTTAGATAAGTGTTAGAGGATGCTTTGTACAGCGGATATTCTGGAGACCAATGGGGTCGCTTTCACTACTTATCAATTTTCTAGAGCTGCCTTCACTTGGTGGGAGGCTTTTAAGAGGCGTAGGCCTGCTGGTGTAGCACCCATTACTTGGTAGCAGTTCTTTGCTCTCTTTCTGGAGAAGTATGTGCCACAGTCTCGCAGAGAGGAACTGTGCAGGCAGTTTGAGTGGTTGGTTCAGGGAGAGATGACGGTGACACAGTATGAGATGAGGTTCTCTGAGTTAGCTCATCGTGCTATTTGGTTGGTTCAGACTGATAGAGAGAGGATTAAGATGTTTGTTGATGGCCTCACTTATCAGCTTCGTATTCTCATGACTAGAGAGAGGGTGACTAGTGCTACGTTTGAGGAGGTTGTAGACATTGCTCATGAGATTGAGTCTGTTCGTCGCCAGGAGTGAGAGGAGAGGGAGTCCAAGAGGCCTCAAGGATCTAGTAGTTATAGTGGTGCTCCTTCGAGAGGTCAATTTCAGCACGGCAGAGGCCATCCATTCAGGCATGATCAGCCAGCTCGCTCAGGTTATCGTGGGGCACCATCGGGTCATGGTTCTCACAGTTCTTATCAGGGCCAGTCATCACTTAGTGCCCTTCCAACTCAGAGTTCGTCCCGTGCTCTATCAGTTCAGGGGTCTTCTATGCCAGGAGCATCTGCTAGTCATTCTGGTTCTAGGGCTTCTCTTCAGTCCCCGTCTCTAGCACCCGAGAGTTGTTATGAGTGTGGAGAGATGGGTCATATATAGAGGTAGTGTCCTCGTCATCTTGCAGGTTCATCTCAGCAGAGGAGTCAGCTATCGGCTTCAGCGCCAGCTACTTCATCACCACCCACCCAACCAGCTAGGGGTGGAGGTTAGTCACCTAGGGGTCACACTAGAGGGGGAGGTCAATCAGGTGGCGGTCAGGCCCATTTCTATGCACTTCCAGCTAGACCCGATGCTATTGCTTGCGATGCTATTATTACAAGTATTGTTTCAGTCTGCCACAGAGATGCCTCTGTATTATTTAATCCCGGTTCCACCTTTTCTTATGTGTCATCATACTTTTGCTCGTTATTTGGGTACGCCCTGTGAGTTTCTTGCTTCACCTATTCATGTATCTACCCCGGTGGGCGATAATGTTGTTGTAGACCGTGTGTACCGATCGTATGTAGTGACTATTAGGGGTCTGCAGACCCGAGTTGATCTTTTACTATTATGTATGATGGATTTCAATGTTATTTTGGGCATGGATTGGCTATCTCCGTGTCATACTAAGACAATGACATTGGCTATACCAGGTGTGCCACAGATTAAGTAGCGAGGTTTGCCTAATTATGTTCCCAGTAGGGTAATCTCATTCTTGAAAGCCCATCGTATGGTTGGGAAGGGTTGTCTTTCGTATTTAGCCTTTGTGAGGTATGTCGGTGTAGAGACTCCCAGTATTGATTCTATTCCAGTTGTGAGGGATTTTCCTGATGTGTTTCCTGCAGGCCTGCCAGGCATGCCACTGGATAGGGATATTGATTTTGGTATTGACCTGGTACTGGACACTTAGCCCATTTTTATTCTGCCGTATCGTATGGCACCAGCGGAGTTGAAGGAGTTAACGGAGCATCTTTAGGAACTCCTCAATAATGGGTTCATTCGGCTTAGTGTGTCGCCTTGGGGTGCCCCGGTTCTATTTGTGAAGAAGAAGGATGACACTATGAGGATTTGCATCGATTATAGGTAATTCAACAAAGTAACAGTTAAGAACAAGTATCCTTTGCCTCCCATTCATGATTTATTCGACCAACTTCAGGGAGCGAGAGTGTTCTCCAAGATTCATCTCCGTTCAGGTTATCACCAGTTGAAGATGAGGGACTCGGATATTCTTAAGATGGCTTTCAAGACCCGATATGGTCATTATGTGTTCTTGGTGATGTCTTTTAAGCTGACCAATGCCCTAGCAACGTTCATGCATTTGATGAATAACGTGTTCCCGCCTTATCTCAACTCGTTTGTCATAGTCTTCATTGATGATATTCTGGTATATTCGCATAGTCAGGAGGAGCACACAGAGCATTTGAGAGTTGTGTTGCAGAGATTGAGGGAGGAGAAACTTTATGCAAAGTTCTCCAAGTATGAGTTTTGGCTTATCTCAGTGGCTTTCTTGGGGCACGTGGTGTCTAGTGAGGGTATTCAGGTTGATCTGAAGAAGATAGAGGTGATTTAGAGTTGGCCCAGACCTTCCTCAGCCATAGAGATTCACAACTTTCTTGGTTTGGCAGACTATTATCGTCGGTTTGCTTAGGGATTCTCACCTATCGCATCGCCCTTGACCAAGTTGACTCAAAAGGGTGCTTCATTTGTATGGTCGGATGAGTGTGAGGGGAGCTTTCAGAAGCTCAAGACAGCCTTGACCACAACTCCAGTGTTAGTTTTGCCATCAACTTCAGGTTCATATACCGTGTATTGTGATGCTTTGAGAGTTGGTATTGGGTGTGTATTGGTGCAGGATGGTAGAGTTATTGCTTATGCTTCTCGTCAGTTGAAGCCCTATAAGAAGAACTATCCTATTCATGATTTGGAATTGGCTACCTACGTAAATAATTTGGAGGCATTAATTTCATGGTGTGTCTTGTGAGGTGTTTACTGATCATCATAGCCTTAAGCACTTGTTCAAACAGAAGGATCTAAATTTGAGGCAGCGGAGGTGGTTGGATTTGCTAAAGGATTATGATATTACTATATTGTACCATCCGGGGAAGGCCAATATGGTAGCCGATGCTTTGAGCCGAAAGGCGGTGAGTATGGGGAATTTGGCATATATTCCAATTGGGGAGAGACCTATTGTAGTTGATGTTCATGCCTTGGCTAATCGGTTTATGAGGTTAGATATTTTGGAGCCCGTTCGGGTATTGGCTTGTGTGGTTTCTCGGTCTTCCTTATATGATCGTATTAGAGAGCGCCAGTATGATAATCCGCATTTGCTTGTCCTTAAGGACAGAGTTCAGCACGATGATGCCAGAGATGTGACCATTGGTGATGATGGGGTGTTGAGGATGCAGGGTCGGATATGTGTGCCCAATGTAGATGGACTTCGGGAGTTGATTCTGGAGGAGGCCCATAGCTCACAGTATTCCATTCATCCGGGTGCCGCGAAGATGTATCAGGATCTGATACAGCATTATTGGTGGAGAATAATGAAGAAAGACATTGTGGGATTTGTAGCTCGGTGTCTCAATTGTCAGCAGGTGAAATATGAGCATCAAATATCGGGTGGCTTGCTTCAACGGATGGATATTCCGGAGTGGATGTGGGAGCGGATCACCATAGTCTTTGTAGTTGGGCTCCCACGGACTTTGAAGAAGTTCGATGCTATTTGGATGATTGTGGATCGGCTGACCAAGTCCATGCACTTTATTCCTGTGTGTACTACCTATTCTTCAGAGCGGTTGACAGAGATCTATATCCGGAAGATTGATCATTTGCATGGTATCCCAGTTTCCATCATTTCAAATATGGGCATCCAGTTTACTTCGCAGTTCTGGAGGTCAGTGCAGTGAGAGTTGGGTACTCAGGTTGAGTTGAGCAAAACTTTTCACCCTCAGACAGACGGACAGTCCGAGCGCACTATTCAGATATTGGAGGACATGTTGTGTGCTTGTGTCATTGATTTTGGAGGGTCATGGGATCAGTTTCTACCGCTTGCAGAGTTTGCTTATAACAACAGCTACTAGTTGAGTATTTAGATGGCTCAATATGACGCTTTGTATTGGAGGTAGTGTAGATCTCCAGTTGGTTGGTTGGGCCAGGTGAGGCTAGGCTATTGGGGACAGACTTGGTGCATGATGCTTTAGAAAAGGTGAAAGTAATTTAGGAGAGGCTTCGTACAGCGCAGTCGAGGCAAAAGAGTTATGCTGATAGGAAGGTTCTACATGTGTCCTACATGGTTGGTGAGAAGGTTCTATTGAAGGTTTCACCCATGAAGGGTGTTATGAGTTTTGGGAAGAAGGGTAAGCTGAGTCCTCGGTTCATTGGGCCTTTTGAGGTGCTTCGG